GGGGGGGGGGGGGGGGGGCCTGTCTGGAACACCTGTATAGGGTCTGTAACCAGCATGTGGGGTCTCCAGTTCTGCTCCCAGGTGAAGTGGGCTCTTCTGGCTGATCTCAGCCTTGGGAGAGGAACCCACCCTGGTGTTTGTTGGCCACACTAGGTTGCTGCCATTGGCTCCAGCTGTGTGGCACTGAGCTGCAACTGATGGCAAAGAGCATGCAGCCTTTCTGGAGCTGTGCGGAGGGTTGGTACCTGCCAGACATGCCACCTCCCAGACAAGCCGTTTGTGGGCTAACAGTACCCTCCTGGGTCTTTGCTGTGAGAGCTGGGAGGGAAGGAGGTGTGTCATGCTGCAGTACTGACAGGCTCTTTCTCTATTGCAGTTCTCAGCATGCTGAGTAACCCTCTTGGAAATGTCCTGGGGAAGCCCCCGCTGGGTTTCCTACCTCTAGACCCCATTGGTTCAGACCTGTCAGAAAAGTTTTCCACACCGACCCTGAGGAACTCCCGCCTGGACTCCCGCTCCCTCCTGGACTCCCGTTCCAGCAGCCCCTCGGACTCGGACACCAGTGGGTTCAGCTCTGGCTCTGACCACCTCTCAGACTTGATTGTAAGTTTGGGTCTTGCGCCGTCTCTGTGGTTCCTGGTGTCTTGCTGTGTTTCTGGGGACCATGGTTGAGCTGTGGTGTGGGGGGCTGCAGGGCACAGCCCTGCCTGCTCAGGAAGAGTGCTGGAGGGAGCTGTCATACCCCTACTGACAGAGGTTCTTCTGCAGCCCAAGGTTTGGAAGAAGAGCTGCTCATACAGTTGTCCTTCAGCACAAACTAGCAGTATCCTTGTATGTTTTTTTCTTCTAAATAATGTTTTGTCCTTTTGGCTTTATCCTTGAGCCTTAATGGGTTAAAGTAACTCCCAGAGGTGTCTGAGTGCTTGAGCTGGTGTGTGGCAGGAGCATGTCTGTGCCCTGATCCCAGCAGGGACATGGTTGATAAGCACAGTTGCCTCCAGGCCTCAACCTGTGCTTCTCAGGAGCTCCTCTCCCTGCCTTTCATTGCCCTCCCTGTTTGCTGACTGCACTTCTCTCTCAGGGCTGTTTCTTCTAGACCAAACTGGGTCTAGCCTGCTCCCATTCCCTAAAGCGCAGCTAAATTTGGAAGCCAGTGAGCGAGGCGAGTGTCTCTTGCTGACCCAGTCTGCTACTGGGTTTGCGTTGCAGTGTGAGCAGCAGCTCTGGGTGCCAGCAGGGCAGCCTGGCTCCAGCCAGCTCTGCAGGTGCTCCTGCATGGCTCAGCCTTGGGACCAGAGCCTAAAGCCAGGGCTGGCCTGCTCCTGGCTCTGCTGTGGTGTGAAGGACACAGCTGGCTTGCTAGAGAGTTGATTCTCCTATGATCCACCCTGGAGAATCAGGAGCTTGAGCAAGGGTGCTGTAAGTGGCTGCAGCCACCCTGGGCTCTGACGATGGCAGGCGGTGGGGGGTGGCAGAGCTTTGTGCTGGCCTTGTTTGTGAAGGTCAGGCCTTCCCCAGCACAGCCTCGGCGTGGGCGGCAGTGCCGCAGCAGTGCACAGCTAGATCCGCAGAGTGGCTAGCACTGAGCTGCACAGTGTCTCACATCCCTGCTGTTTTATTAATCCTTGCTTTTACTCCCTCTACCCTGGGAGAGGCACGTTAAACTTGAGTGGTTGGGTCCGCAGCCAGCTGAGCCCCCACCCTGGTCAGACAGGCTTGGGAGCTGGTCTGCAGAGGGCAAGAGCCAGCTGGCTGCCTGCAGAGTTCATGGGTGCTGCCTGGAGCAAAACATGAGGCTCCTCCTGGGGTGTTTGGTGCTCCTGGGGGTGGTAGCTGTGCTTGAGGCTGTGCAGGCCAGGGGAGCTGTTGGCTTTGTGGTCTGCAAGGTACCTCCGGTTTAGCAGTCCCTGCTGCTGACAATTTGGCATGGGTTCAGTGGAAAAAGGCTGCAGGGGCAGGCCTTTCCCAGGGTAACTGTGACCTCATTAGGCTCCTGGGACAGGTGAGGTGGCTGCTTTCCTGCCTCTGCTAGTACTTAGAGGGTCTCAGGAGAACAGGAGATCACTGAGCTGCTTCTGCTGTAAGGTCAGGGCCCCAACGAGATACATGACCTCCAGTATTATGTGCTCTTACTCAGAAGCTGGGTTTTAATGTGGACTTTCTCTTGCAGTCAAGCCTTCGCATCTCCCCCCCTCTGCCCTTCCTGCCCCTTAGTGGGGTGTCAAGAGACCCCCTAAAGATGGGAGTGGGGTCCCGACTGGATCAAGATCAAGCTGCCCTGGCTGCAGTAACTTCCTCCCCAGCTAGTGCATCAAAAAGATGGCCTGGAGCATCTGCATGGCCTTCCTGGGATCTCCTGGACTCTCCAGAAGACCCTTTCAGTATCGAAAGAGAAGCCAGGCTTCACAGGCAAGCAGCAGGTAAGCTGGATGGTGGGTCTCAGCAGGCTTCAGTGTGTGGTGATGGTCCTGGGCTTCTTGGGGACACAGAGTGGCCTCTGCAGGTACTGTGTCTGGACAGGAGTTTGCAGCCCATCAGACCTTCCTCCATGGGCAGGCCTGGCTCTGGGTCTACGTGCTGACAAAAACAGGCAGCTGCCTGTTGCTGCAGCTCTGGGGAACCTGCAGATGTGGAATATGGGGATTTACTTGGAAACCTGTGGGAGTGGGAAGTAAATGGTCCTGTACTGAGTGTTGCTTATTCTTGTCCAAGCTGTGAATGAAGCAACCTGCACCTGGAGCGGGCAGCTGCCTCCCCGAAACTACAAGAACCCTGTCTACTCCTGCAAAGTGTTCCTGGGAGGAGTCCCATGGGACATTACGGAAGGTGAGCAGTCCCTGCCCCTGCACTGAGGCCTTGGGTTTTGACATCAGGAGGGTGTAAGATGGAGTTTTTGGGGGGGATGCTGACTTCTCTCCTTCTGTCTGTAGCTGGACTGATCAACACCTTCCGTGTTTTTGGCTCACTGAGTGTGGAGTGGCCTGGTAAGGATGGCAAACACCCACGCTGCCCTCCCAAAGGTAATATGCCTAAAGGTAATAGCGACACGGTAGGGTTACATTTTTTCCCATGCTATGTTACAGCACGGATGCTGGGATGGTACAGCTGCATGCTGGTGACTGGATGGTACAGAGCACCCTAGGGTAAATCTCCTGCTCTCACTTGGGTCAGCACCAGGGTTGAAGAGCACTGTCACCTCAGACCTGGCATCCCCACCCATCCCTAGTAGGGCTGGGCAGAGGCATGGGTTGAGGGGAAACCCTCTCTGGTGCTTCTGGAGCCCCCTGTGGGGCTGTCTCGCTTCAGGCAATAGCTGCCAGTCCCCACTGCCAGCGTGAGCACCCAAAGCACGTGCACCCCTGGCGTAAAGTGCATGTGGTCAATCCAAATGTGCATCCGCAGCAGGCTGGCAGGCTGCGGGGACTGGTGAGCTGAGCAGTGCCTGGGGCATAATCCTGTCTGAAGTAGCTGAGCTGATGCATTGTGTAAGCAGTAACAAGCTATGGGGTAAGGAGTGGCTAGTTTGTAGGCTCAGTGGTGCCCAATGGCCTTGTTCCGTCACCACAGCAATGCAAGGTGTAGGCTGCTGGCACTGATGGAAGTGATTTTATAAGCCCTGAACTTGTATTTCTGGGCCAAAACATCTTAATGTGAAGCAGAGTCTTTTTCCCTGCAGGCCAAGCTGGTGGTGCCTGCTTGTCACATCTCAGTGTGCACAGGGGACAGTGTGGACATGGGCAACCTGCCCCCTTGTGCTGTGCTGAGTTTGGGCTCTTTCCCAGCTTGGCCAGACTCTGTCACAGGCAGATCCTGTGTATAGAATCTGCTGGGGCAGGTGCTGCAAATCACTGCCCTCCCCTACAAGGGGTTGGGGTCAGCAAGGGAGATGCAAAGCAGATACTTTGGGTGGCATCTGAGAATGATTTTTGAGGGTGTCTGCAAATTGGGATGTTATGTTTTTCCTCCACTGTGGTTCTAACAGCTGCTTCTTTCCCTTCCCCTCTAAAGGCTATGTCTACCTGGTGTTTGAGTCAGAGAAATCTGTGCGTGCTCTGCTCCAGGCATGCTCCCAGGACCTGCTGAGCCCTGATGGGCTTAGTGAGTACTACTTCAAGATGTCCAGCCGCAGAATGCGCTGCAAAGAGGTGAGCAGACCCATGAGAGTAGCCCTACAGATGACAGCTGCTTATGAGACCCTTGGAGACAAGGGGGTGCGCACTACTGTGCTCCAGGGAAGCAGGGCTAAAGCAGCAGCAGAAGACAGACTGACTTGTGGCCATCTTCATGTTCCTGCAGTAGGGCTGGTGCAGGCAAGGAGGAAAGTGTCAAATCAGTGTCTGTGTCCTTCACAACAGCTTGTGTCAAACTGTTACCTGGAGCTCCTGAATCTGTGGCTGACCCTGATGTCATGAAGCTGAGCAGCTTTAGTTAGCTGGAGAGGAGCATGGGAACAGAGGTTTTCCTGTTTCCTGCTTCTTCCAGTACACCTTTGCTTGCAGAGACAGACTTTGATCCCTTTGGTGCTTTATTAGACCTCATCTGCTTTCAGAATGAATGGTTTTCATGCTTGCTGCAGGCAGATGTTTTGGTAACTGCAGCTGCTCCCCAACAGCAGCCTTGGCTGGCTGACCTGTGCTCTGGAGGTGGAGGTTCTGCAGCTGCCAGAGGCTCAGGTTGGCCTTCCCTTAAAAGAGGACCTTAGCTATAGATCAGGTACAACTGTGTGAGTTCGTGGAGTTAAAGAACTGAGATTCAACTCCTATCTAGACAGGCGCAAACTAATTGCACTCTAGACAGTGATCCTGGTGTCTGGCTGTTGGCAGCACTTTCAGGCTTGGTGATTTAGCTGTGGCAGAAGTTTGTCCTCTTCGGAGCCCTATATTAGCTGTCTAGCAGATGGAAGCTCCTGCCAAAATTGGCAGTGGGTGGGTTGTTTCATTGATCTCCTCCAACAACAGCCCTCTGCAGGAAGGCATCTGATGGGGCTGTAAACACAGGTGCAGGCAGTAGGTGAAATCCACTCATGCATGGATTGTTTCCTGGCTGCTAGTTCCAAGGGACCAGTGTTCTGGATTCCAGTTTGGCTGGAAGCAGAGTGGTGTGGCAGTTGCCTCTGTTCCCCTGAATGTGCCTTGTGGGGTGTCTGGAGCAAGGCTGGAACTCCAGGGCTGTAGTGCCCTGCATGTGGACCCTTGAGCATCAGTAGCAAAGCAACATTTTCAGGTTGTGGGTAAAGTCTGAGGGTCTGGGATGGCTTCTGCTGTGAGCTAAGGATACTTTAGAGCATCATGGCCTGTGGCTTTGCAGACCCTTGGCTCACCCAACCCACTTGTGTGTGGTTTCAGGTGCAGGTGATCCCATGGGTACTGGCAGACAGCAACTTTGTGCGCAGTCCCTCGCAGCGGCTTGATCCCAGCAAGACAGTGTTTGTGGGGGCTCTGCATGGGATGCTGAATGCAGAGGCCCTGGCAGCTGTCATGTGTGACCTGTTTGGAGGGGTGATCTATGCTGGCATCGACACGGACAAGCACAAGTATCCCATCGGTAAGTGATGATCCTGTTGGGCTCAGTAGTCACTCATAGCACGCTCTGAGGAGGCTGCAGCACTACCATTTGCTTGAACCCTCAATGGGGAAGACTGTCCAAGGTGCTAGGCTCTGCCTCCACCTGCTCTGGGAGCAGATGTCCCCCCGGCCTCTCCCATGGGTGATGCTCCTCACCTCCTGGCCATGGGGAGGCAAGACAGGCCTTGGAGAGGGCTGGCAGAGCCAATGTGCCTGGGAACTGGGAGGTCTTAGATCATTCTGGTGCAGCTCAAGGTCTGTAATATCTCCTTAGGCATTGCTAAAGTGCTTCCTGCCCCTGCTCAGTGCTGTTAATGGTTGTTAGATGCTGCTTTAGATTCTCTTCCATCCCTAGAGTAGAGATGGTTGTGGGTCTTACCCTGGCTTCTGCCGCCTGCCAGGGCAAGTTCAGCCCTGCTGATTGCTGGCCCTTCCTGGTGGGCAGCAGGAACAGGACAGGGCTGTGGGCAGTTCAGCTGACTAGCACTTGTGGGCAGCATCCTGTCCCTACTGTGCTGTTTGGCTCGCCTTTAGGGCACTGTCACTTTGGGCTTCCAAGGCAGCTGGTAGCACAAGTGGAGAGGCTTCTCATCCGAGTAGGTCTACCATGGGATGCCATGGCCATAGCTCAGGGTATCAGCTTTCCTAGGGTCAGAGAGGTGCTGGAGGTGTGTAACCAAGGAACAAGTGACAGGACAAGAGGGAATGGCCTCAAGCTGTGCCAGGGCAGGGTCAGGCTGGCTCTGAGGAAGGATTTCTTTGCAGAAGGGGCTGTTGGGCGTTGGGATGGGCTGCCCAAGGCAGGAGGGGAGTCCCCATCCCTGGAGGGATTGAAGAGTCAGGCTGACCCAGTGCTGAGGGATCTAGTGGATTGAGAATAGTCAGTGTGAGGTTCATGCTTGGACTGGAGGAGCTTCAGGGGCTTTTCTAACAGAGATGATTCTGTGACTCCTGGACAGCACTCCCCTCCTGGGGCTGAGACCACAACCTTCAAGCCAGCTGCTCACAGTTGAAGCTGCTGCCCTGAACCATGACCTCTGCTCAGGCAGTGCTCTTGCAGGTGGAAAGGATGAAGCCTCTGAGGTCCCACCTCCCAGACAGGGCTGTGGTGTGTGAGGGGTAGGGTGTGAGTGCAGCCCCTGCAGTAACCCAGGGAGCAGCCCTGTGCCCTGCTGAGATGGCCTCCCAAAGGGGAATGGGGTGCTGAGACATTACATGACATGAGACATGTCCCCTGTATCTCCTTGGTGGTGTCATGGGCTGGGGAACAGCACTGAGGTTATTGGTCTATGTAGGAAAACCCTACAGCTTGAGCAGGAGCACCAGCATTCCAGACTCAGGCTGTAGCAAATCATGTACTTCAGAAGGGACAGTGAATCTCCTATATGTTGCCAGGAAGGAACAATGTCAGAGTTTGGTAGTGCAGAGCTGTTGTCTGCTCGTCATTGTCCAAGACAGGTTTTAGGCTTTTTCTGGCCCAGGCTTGGGATATGCCTGTGGTACTGCAGTGCTTTACCACTGAGATGGCCTTGGGGGAACAGTCCCAAGGGGTTGGTAATGGAAGTACAAGAGTCCAAGCAAATCCTTAGTGTGACTATGGATGAAGTCTTGCCTGGGGAAGTTTGGTGTGCTGGTACTGTGTGGTCCTAGAGCATGACCTTAACACCTCCTGTGGCCTCATGCACAGCCCGGATTGCTCCCTCAGTAGTTAAGATCTCCGACTTCCAAGAGCACTGGCACTTCCACCGTTGAAGTTGTCTTAAAGTTGCAGCAATATAAACTCAATTTCAGTCACTAAACTGTACCCTAATATTGTTTGAGTTGGTGGAAGCATCTCCTGTGCTGAGATGCTGCCTCAGGCTTGCTTAGCAGAATGTTTCTCAAGGGAAGACCATTGTGTGTAAGCTGCCTTGTGCTGAATCATCTCGGGTCAAGGATGATCCTGCTGGAGGCATGGACTGAGGAATCAGTGTCTGACTAGTTGTGAGGAGCTGCCTTTTGAGACCAGCTGGTAGGGGTCAACAGAGAAAGCTGCTGCCCAGATGGCTTCAGGGGCTCCCACTAGGAGATGGAACTGACCCTCTGAGGAGGAGGAAGATCCCCTGAGTGCAGCTACAATCCCTGTATGCAGTGTAACCCCAGATGAGACCCAGGCACTCCAGCCCGTGTTCTGTGTGATGCCCCAGGAGATGAGTGGGGGGGTTATGTGTAGTGCTTTACACTGCGGATGCCAGTGGTGAGCTGAGCTTTAGTGTTCTGCTAGGGTGCTGGACAGTCTTGTAGCAGCCAAAGCTCCCCTTACACTGAGAAAAGAAACCTATAGATAAGCACAGATGTTTTTCTGGAGCTTAATAAAACTTGGCTGGAAACGAGTGGTGCAGGAATGCTGCTGACTGGCGATGAAGCTGCAAAATGCAAGGCTCCTGGATGAGTGGGAGGCTTAAAAGCTGCTGAGCTGTCTCGGCGCTAGCTTATTTCAGGTGCAGGCGTGGAGCCCACTGCTGTGCTGCCCTCAGCAGTGCCCTGGCAGCCTCCCTCTGTCTGCCCAGCTGCTGCCGGTCCTCCTGGGAGTGCTGTCGCCCTCAAGCTCCCCTCTTAACCAGCCTGGAGGTGTCCATGGCAGAGCTGTTCTGCTCTCAGCTGCCTGCTGTGCTTTTGTTGCTGTCTGGGGAAGGAGGCAGGCAGAGCTGTCAGGCCTTGGATATGGTCTCCCTGCAAAAACTGCTTCCTTGGCAGTGACTGAATAGCACCAGGGAAGGGCTGGTGCTTGCAGCAGCTCCCTTGGCCTCCATCGGTTCCTGCTGCAGGTGCACTCATGCTCTGGCTTGTTCCAGGGTCTGGCCGTGTCACCTTTAACAACCAGCGCAGCTATCTGAAGGCAGTGACCGCTGCGTTTGTGGAAATCAAAACTACCAAGTTTACTAAAAAGGTGAGTGGAGCTGAATCTGTACCTACTGGGTGGTATTGCTGGGACTACCGTGACCTGCACGGCCTGCCCTGTGTCCCTGTGGAGGCAGAGGGAGGTGGTCAAGTGCTGCTCCGCCAGCTGTGAGGGGAGCTGCCAACAGATTTGGGGTACCCAGGGTGGTGGATCTGTGCTGCTGGGGCTGCCCAGGGAGTGGGCAGTTGCCCCCAGCACCACTCTGTGCCTACTGCCTGGCTCTACTGCAGGTTCAGATTGACCCGTACCTGGAGGACTCCATGTGCCAAGTCTGCAGTGCCCAGCCTGGCCCATTCTTCTGCAGAGACCAGGTAAGGCTCCTGCCTGCTGTGCTTGGCTGCCACGCTCGGGGGGTGCCCTGCAGGAGCAGCAGGCTGCCCTGCGTGTGGCGGTGTTCGCTGTAGTGTCTGGGGGTGCCCGTTCCCCCCTGCCCGGGGGAGGATGCAGTGCTCTCCCGAGCCCCAGCTGGGCCCTTGGTTGGGCGGAGGTGCAGCCCTCCTGCGGGGCAGGCGCTCGGCGGGGGTAGGGCAGCTCTCTACCCGGCTCTGCTGTTGCAGAGCCACCAGAACCGTGTGCCCCGAGAGGAGGCCGCCGCTCTGCGAGCTGTGACAAGCTGGAAGTGGGAGTGCCGTCACCCTGCGGTCGGTCCTGGGGCTGCCCGAAATGTGGGGGTCCCTCGCTGACCTCTGCGTGCTGCGGACAAAGGAGCTGGACCGGGCTCCGGCGGCTTCCCGCGGGCTCTGGGTGGGAGGCGGCAGCAGCAGCACGCTCCG